CCCCTGGTAGTGCCCTCCTCTGTGCTCATGGTCTCAGCCCCCAAGGTAGAGCAGCCATCGGGCATGTGGCAGCAGAGCACGCGCACCTCGTAGTCCAGGCACAGCCCCTCGGGCCCTTGCTGGTCACTGTTGTGACACACCAGGCCCACCTCTATGTCGCACTGTACCACCTGGCCCAAGATGGTGATGGGGACCTCAGGGTGGCCCTGGGCACGGCACTGCAGCCTTGTGACCTCCTCAGGCTGGCGGCAGATGCTGTGTCCCCTCTGAAGGATGTGGCTGTACGTCTCCAGGTCCCCACCATGGGGCCCAGGCTCAGGTGAGTCCACATCTAGCCAGGGGGTCCAGGTGCACTGGGGCTGGCAGCCTGTGGTCCCAGGCAGGGTGACAGTGTGTGTCCCCGGGGTCTGGACAGCCTGTGTCGAGGTGCTGGCCTGGTACTCATGGCCCTGAGGGGTGGCCGAGGTTTCAGATGTGCTGGCTGTCATCTTGCAGGAGTGTGGCACCTCACAGCACTCTATTCGTATCTGGTAGTTGTAGCAGATGGGCGGCAGCTGCTCCCGGTTCAGGCAGAGCAGCCCCACCTCGGGGTTGCAGGTCACCTTCTGCCCAAGCTCAGCCAGTGGTGTGTTGGGGAAGAACTGGGCCCGGCACTCCACACTCTGGGGCCGTTCACAGAATTTGTATCCATGCCCACGAAGTTCAACCAAGGTGTCAAAGTCTCCGCTGTCTCTGCCAGGTGCAGGATAGCTGCTGTCAATCCACTCAGTCCAGCTGCACTGCTTTGAACAGGACAAGGTGGTTGGCTCTGCTTTCATGCTGGAGGTGGAGGGCATGGCTCTCTCTGGTGTGGGGCTCCCTGGGGCAGGTGCACTGCTGGCCCTGGGGATGGTGGCTGGGCCCGTGATTGTGACAAGGGCCGAGGAGGGGGCTGTGGGTCCAGATGAGACAGAGCAGGGCACAGGGTGGCAGCACAGGACCCGGACCTGGTAGTTGTCACAGAGCCCCGACATCTGGTCCCGGTTGTGGCAGGTCAGCCCCACAGTGGGACTACACTCCACACGCTGCCCCAGGACACTAAGGGGCACCTCAGGGACGTCCTCTGCCCGGCACTGCACCTCCATGGGCACTTGGCACAGCTCGTGTCCATGGGCACGGAGGTTCTCCAGTGTATCAAAGTCCCCGCTATCAATGCCACGTCCTGGGCGGCTGATGTCCAGCCATGGGGACCACACACACTCCTTTCCACAGTCAGTGGAGGCCACAACCAGCGTCTCCCCAGCAGACGTGTGGGTAGCAGAGGGCATGGTGCTGCTCTGGGGGCTTGAGTGTGCTGTGCTCCTGGTGGGGCTGGGCTGTGTGCTCTCAGAGTGCGTCGAGCTCTTGGCTGTGGGCAGAGGAATGCGGGGCTGGGTGTTGGGGGCACGCTCAGCTGTCTCCCACCTGGCCCCATCATCCCCACTGCCTGTGAGCAGCCTGGCACCATGTCCTTGGCCATCTGCTTAGACCCAGCCTGTCAGTAATAGGTTCAGGACATGGCCATTTCCAACCTCATCCCCCTTAGGGGACTCACTGTGGCTGCCCCAGACAGAGCCACCATTTGCGCTCCCAAGAACCACTGTTCCCTGCTCATCACTCAGAGGTCCTGGTGATGCCTGGGGGCACTGAGACCCCTGGAAGGTCAAGGACTGGGGATACTTAGTACCCAGGTAGTGTCCCTGGGCCCGAACTCCCCCAGGGCCCTGGACCCGAGGTTGAGTGACAGGGAGGCTGCAAGGTGACAGGTGGTATGAAGGAGCAGCCACTCAGCAAATGCCAGCCTTACCCACGGGTGCCGTGGAGAAGATGAAGGTGGTGGGTGGTGCGGTGCTGCGGGAGCTGCAGGAGTAGACCCTCCTCTCGATGGTGCCATTGACCCCGCAGCTTGCAGAGAGGCATCCATCCATGCCATCCGTTGTGTGATAGATCTCAGCCCCTGGCCAGAAGCGCTGCCCATTGTAGGTGCAGAAGCAGGCTATGGGGAACAGCGATAGCCTGTGAGAGGCTGGGGGCACAGACAGGGGTCCCTCCCAGGCCTGGCCACCCGCAGCTGCTCACCCTCAGTGTCGTAGCTGCAGTGCACACCACTCTCAGTGCAGATGCTGGGAGGGGAAGAAGGGGTGGCATTAGGGGCCCTGGGCCAAGTCTGGTGGCCAAGACAGTCACCCCAGTCCCTGCCAGGCCTCTTTACCAAGGCCATGCCCTCCCAAAGACCCCAACAGTGACCCCTCCCAGTGGAGGCGGGGGGAGAGCTCAGACCACACACCCCCATGCGTGGGTGGAGAGGCATCACCCCTGAATCCCTGGGCACTGCCTGGGCTCAGTATCCCCATCTGCACCCTTGAGTCCCCCCACCTGGGAGCCCCTGAGATGTCCTGGCACCCAGCCAGGGCACTGGGACCACAGGGGCAAGGCCACAGCCCCTCCCACAGAGACTCACCAGGAGTGGCAGTTCTCCCCAGATGGCACCATCGCACCCACCCGGTACGACTTCCCTTGGATGTGGCAATGTGGCACAGGGGTAGGGTTTAGGCACTCGGCCACGCACTGCATCTTGTCCTCGTCGAAGATGGGGGCCCCCAGGGGGCACTTGGGGTAGCAGCCTGCGGGCCAAGGAGGCCTGAGTCCCACAGAGACCTTGATCCTGCCCCAGGGCCTGCCAGCCACCTCTCAGACAGCTCAGGCCAAGGCCCACAGGACAAGACACCAGCCCGTCGTACAACCCACCTTCCAGGCCCCGAAGGTCCTGCAGGCAGCGGCCGCTGGGGTTCCGGCACGTACGCAGGCAGGGTGCACCGCACGGCTCATAGTGCCACTCGCACTCCCCAGGGAGGTTGTAGTAATCGCAGAATAGAGCTGGGTGAGGACAGGGGACCTCAGCCCAGAGTATACCCTGGGCCTCTAGAACACCCTGCACACGCTCCCTCCAGGGCATGACCAAGTTGGGACCCCCAGCCTTGGGAGGAGCCAGCACAGGGTCCCAGCCAGAGCTGCCCCAGCCCCCCAGGCCATGCCAGTTTGGGCCTGGGAGCTCAGTGGCCTCCACTGCTGGATGACCAACCCCCCCAGTGGGCACACTCACGGCAGATGTCAGGCGTCCTCCAGGACACGCACACCCCCACCTCGTGGCAGGTCTGGGCGTAGGCAGCCACAGCAGTGCAGAAGCACTCACAGTCACCCCCCGAGTCACAGGCACATGCGTCACTCACACAGGCCTCGTAGTACTTGGCTGGCTCCACCTGAGGAACACAGGGTTCAGATGCTGGGGACCCCGGCTCCCCGTGCTCTTGTGGGGTCTGGCTGGTGGGGTGACCCAGCCAGTTTCCCAGTGCCTGACCCCAGCTGGCTGGCCAGGCCTGTCCCTGTGTCCCCAGACCAGGGGGACCCTGGCCCAGCTCCAGCTGCACAACCCCCAGTGCCCAGGGTGCATCCCGGGCATACGTGGGCATGGCAGGCAGCAAAGATGGCGCTGTTGATGATGCTACATTGCCTCTGGGCCCAGCCTTTGCGGTACGGGTTGGCCGTGCAGGGGTCCTTGGGTGCTGGGGCATCCGGGCAGGTGGGGGAGAACTTCCAGCTGTTCCCGAACTCCAGCGCGTCGCTCACCACGGCCTGGCTGCGCGTGGTCAGGTCGTTGATGGCGTTGCCATCGAAGTTCCCGCACAGGCCACAGACCCTGCCCTGAAGGGGGATGAAGGAGAGGCCCTCTGGGGTCCTGGGTTGCACACCAGCTTCCCTGCCTAGGGCTGAAGCTGCAGGCAGAGGCTCAAACAAGGCCGGCTGTGACCCCAGGGAAGCCACGTCACCCCCTCCCTCACAAGCACCTCCTCCCTCCACCTCTTTCGACCTGCAGGGACAGCCCGGTCACTGCAGGAGGAGCACGGACCACAGAGGCTGGGCTGGCACCAGCCATGCAGAGGTGGAGCTGGAAGGTGGTGACCTCTCTGCCCGCCCTGTCCGCCACTCTCCACCCGTCTGCCCCAGGCCTCTCCTCTCTGTGTCTCACTGTCTTTGTCTCTTGCCTGTCTGTTTCATTCCATCTGTCTTTGTTTCTCTCCATCTCTATCTCTGCCTCTCTGTCTTTTACTGTGTCTCTCTGTGTCTGTCTCCCAGTCTCTCTCTGTGTCTCCTGGTCTCTCTGTCTCTGTTCTCCTCCCTGTCTGTGTGTCCAGCAGAGCCCAGTGGTGCCAACAGCAGTGGCCTCCCTGGCTGGGCCTCACCTTGAACTTGGGGCTGAGCCTGAGGAACAGACTGGTTTTCCGGTCCCAGAGCAGCTCAAGGCCAGTGTCGGTGTCCACCGCCAGGTAGATGCCCATCTGGCGTACGGTGTAGGGAGGCTCCTGCCTGGCACCCATCTGGACCACCTCTACCTTACCGCTGCTCAACTTCAGCTCGGAGCTCTGCAAGGCAGGGCTCCCTCAGGGCCTGGCAGGGACCCCTCTCCACCCACCTCATGTCCCTGTACCCATTCTGCCAGCCCCTCGCACCCCCAGGAAGATCTTGATGTCCTTGGAGCAGGTGGTCCCCGTGGTGCCACAGGGGACATTCTCGGTGACCACGCGGAAGGTGTCCAGGGCACTGCTGTTCCCACCACACTGGTCCTGGGAGCAGAAGCCCATGGTCAAATGGGCTGGGACCTCCAGGGCAGCCAGGAGCCCTGAAAGCCCCCAGCCGGCCACACACCTGCACCAGGGTGTACTCGCAGGCCCCGTTGAAGGTATAGCGCTGCCCATCGAAGGTAAGGAAGTGGCCATCCCCATAGACTGCGCAGGTGGCCAGACAGGGCTCCTCCGTGCACTGCCACATCCGGTTCTCACAGGTACTGCAGAGGCATGGGGTCAGACTGGTGCGGGTGCCGCAAGGGCCTCAGGGCAGGGCTGCCCACTCCACCCATCCTTCAGGCCCTGTGCCGGTCACTCAGGGCCTAACAGGGACCTCTGTCCAGGTACCGGTGACAGCCTGCACCCTGAGGCTCTGCCACACCCACCAGGTGTTGCAGCCGTCAAGAATGGTCTCCCCAGACCGGTAGCTGGCCTCGTTGTGCACGCAGGGACAGTCCTCCTCTGCCACACAGCCTCCATCACCGTCCGCCACCAGCCCCGGGGGACAAATGCAGCCAGAGACGCACTGGGTGCTGTACTGTGGGGTGAGCGAACACAGCTCAGCAGGTGGGGTGGTCAGCGGTACCCTCTGTGTCCCCGAGAGTGAGGTAGCCATGGGATGCAGGACCAGAGGAGCCCAGACACGGGTCAGGCAGTGTCCTTGAGGACGCCTGAGGAAGTGCCCAGCGGCCCCCCACCCAAGACAGCATGGGACCTGAGCATAGGGGCCACGAGGAGTCGGGATCTGCGGGGCCCCCAGGGTGACTGGCACTCACGCAGGCCATGTCCAGGGTGTGGCAGCTCTTCTGGCAGCCGGCCCCAGTGGCCACCAGTGTGGTGTTGCGGCAATCGAAGTACACCATGGGAGTGTCACACACTGTGGAGGGGACGTGCTCAGGGGACCCATCCTGGCCCCTCAGGCCCACTCAGGGATCATAGGCTGTGGTGTGGCCTCTCCCATGTGTTCCCAGACAGCTGAGTGTGTGCCCACCTATGCCACATGTGTGGGGTGTGCACTGCACAGTGTGTGTTGTGTCTGGGTTCATGTGCTCGTATGCAGGAGACCACGCCCTGTGCTCCTCATCACTGGCAGTGCCGGCCTGGGGCAGCTCATGGGAAGGGGAGCAGGCTCACCTGGGCTGGGTGCGGAGCCTCCGATACAGGTCAGCACACCCCGTGTGCAGGTGCTGGAAGGGGAGAGGGCAGTGAGCACATGCGTCCCACAGGAGCACAGCCTCCTCCCCACCGTGGGCCGGGGCCTCACCAGAGAGCCCCACTGTCATGTATGGATTCGCCGTTGGGGACCATGGAGCCCCCATGGTAGCAGGGACACTCGTGGGCCGGCACACAGGCACCCGCCTCATCCAGGAAGGTGCCAGCAGGGCAGGTACAGCCGTCCACAGGCACGAAGGACACTCCACAGGTGACGTCGGCCTCGCTCAGGCTGCGGCAGGTGGGCTGGCAGGTGCCAAGGTGCTCCTGGTAAGCCATCGACTTGGGGCAAGTGGTCGTGGGCTTCACTGTGGGCACAGGAAGAGGGACACTCAGGTGCAGGGGTCTGGACCAGCACGGGGGGCAACAGTGCTTCCGGGCAGGCGAGGGCACTCACTGCAGACGCCGTCCCGCCAGCCGCGGAGCAGCACACCCTTGGCGGCGCAGGCGTGCACGTAGGAGGACAGCGCGGCGCACAGGCAGTCCTCACTCCTCTCGCAGTTGCACGTGTCGAACACGCAGTTCTGGGGGCCGGCGATGCGTCAGAGACCCGGCCCCACAGCGAGAGTCCCTGTGCCCCCCAGCCCCTCCCTGAGGCCCCAGGCCTCAGTGGAATTTGCCCTGGCATCCAGCAGCCAGGCCTCGCAGGCCTGACCTCCCCCAGCTCTGTGACTCAGACACGGTGCACGGCTGCACCACCATCCCTGCTGGCTGCCACCTTGGGGTCTGGCCCTGTGCTGGCACCAGGCACACAGGTGGGCAAGGGGATAAATGAATGGGGAGGGGAGGGGTGGGCAGGGTCGGGCTTGGGTCCTGTGCCATGCCTGGCCTGTAGAGTGTCATAGGGTGCCCCCACAGCCTCCTTGGGTACCACAAGGCCACACAGAGCCACGCAGGGCCTTGGCAGCAGTCTTACCGAGTGGTAGGAGCTGGGGCTCACGGCGGCATGGCACTGGGCAAAGGGGCTGTTAACATCTGTCAGCAGCGAGCACCAGTGCTGGGCATACTTCTCTGTGGGCAGAGGGTGCTGTCAGCCACCATTGGCCTAGCGGCTCCCACCTGGAGCTGGCAGAGCCCAGTGCAGCTGGTACTTGGCCACATCACAGGAAGTACCAAAGGCAGGGATGAGGCATCCCCCAAAGCATGGGGCATGGCGAAATCACAGGGTCACTGCCTTCCCTGTGCCCAGCCACCTCCGAGAGGCAAGGACCCATCCACAGACAGATGAGCAGAGACCCTCCAGGCCTTCACTCGCTTTCTAGGCACAGAGGGAAGGGACAAGCAGCCCAGTACCAGCAACCCTCCAGCCCTGTCCAGCAGCTGAGTGGGCAGGGACACCAGTACGTAAGACAGACCAGGACTTTCGTCCTTCCTATTGCCCTGAAGCAGGGCCACACTTGGCCCCCAGATAAAGCAGCAGTGGCTGGCAAGGGCTAGTGAGCAGCACTGACACCACCTCCACTTGGCCCCGGTGTGTCCAGATGCAAACTACACACACCGTTCTCCACACTGAGTGAGCAGGGGTCCTCGAAGCTGGTCTTGGCATTGGGGCAGGAGGCCTGGGTCTTCCAGGTGTTGGCAAAGGCAGTGCCCGTGCCCTCTACCACCCCACTGATGGTCCGGAAGTCGTCGGCCTGGTTGTGGTTGAAGTTCCCACAGAGACCTAGGGTGGGAAGGCAGTTGAGGCGCCATGGGCCTCGGGGACAGGGACAGGAGGAGGACGGGGACCTGGGGCGGGCTCCTACCGCAGGTCTGTCCCTGGAGCTCAGGTGCCAGCCTCACGAACAGCTGCATGGTGGGCACCAGCTGCACATGCAGCTGCAGCCCCAGCTTGGTCTCCACAATGATGAAGAAAGTTGACGGTTTCAGGATGGTGACATTAGCTATGGACACGGAGGGTACAGCTTGCTGGGCTGCGTGGGTTGGACCCCACAGGCAACCAGGGCACAGAGGGTGGGGAGCCCTCACCTGCAGAGACTGGCAGCTGGGTGTAGATCTGGTTCACGAACACCTCCCCGCTGGTCTTCACCACCACCACCTGGAGGCCACGGCAGTGGGTCAGCACAGGGCCCCACAGGTTCCCTCCCTCCCTGGCCACAGAGGGTGTGAACTGGGCCTGCTGTGCTGGGAGACTTTGCCCATGGCTGTGGGCTAAAACCCTGAGCTCTGCCCTGGGGCTCATCCTGATTTTCTGAACTGCCCATTAGGACTAAACATTTTTAAATAATGCAAAAACTGAAGTTAACTTATAAATCAACTTCAGTAGATGCCCGAGCCCCTCTTCCTTGCAGCCAGGAGGGCAGCGTGGGAGGGCCTCATCCCTGCTTGGGGACAGTCACCCTGAAGACCCAACGCAAAGGCCACAGCCCACGCGAAAGGGGCCTGCAGACCCGGCTCGGGCAGGTGCCGCCCGACTCACCGTCTGTCCCCCACCCAGGCTCAGTGTCACACTCTTCAGGCAGGTCTCGCTGTCGGTCAGCCCACACCGGCGCAGCTCAGCCAGCACAGCAAAGGCGCTGCTGTCACAGAGCTGCAGGGACACGGCATTCACGGCCCACCCTCCTCCGGCCAGAACTGTCCTTTCACTGGGCACCACCACCACCCACCACCTCTGTGGCTCCCTGGCAGAGCCACAGATCCAGGAGAGAGGCAACTTGCAGTCCCAGATGGGGACCAGCATCCTGAGAAGGTGTCCACCGTGGGATTGCAACCCAGGGGCCTCAAGGGAGAGGCCCAGCCAGCCGTGCAGGAGGTGAGGGAGCACTGACTTCCGAGGATGGGGAGGGAGGGAGATGGGCCCAGGGTTTTTGGGGCAGTGACACTGGTGTGTGTGGTGCTGGTGGCAGACACGCAACCTTACACATGGGACAGTGAGCCTGGTAGACACCAGGGCCGATGAGGACCGTGGTTGGCTGAGTCTGTCATCAGCGTGACAAATGCACTGGGAATGTTAGTAATGGGGAAGTTTGGGGGTGCGTGGGATCCCTGTACTACTTGCTCAACTTATTGATGAATCTGGAACACAGTCTACTACAGAGCAGCACCCAAAGCCAGAGGAGTAGCCCAGGGCTCCAACCAGGACCCCAGCAGCCCTGTGGGCCCCGGGGACTGGGCGCCTCTCCCGTGCACTGCAGAGTGGAGCTGGGTGGGAGGCCAGGCTCCCTCACCTTGGTCAACACGTAGCTGCAGTCGCCGTGCACAGTGTACTGCTTCTCATCGAACGTGGAGAAGTGGGCGCCACCCAGCACAGAGCAGGTGCCTGGGCACGGCAGCTCTCGGCAGCTCCAGTGACCTCCAACGCAGGTGCTGTGCATGGGGGAGAGCACCCATGTGTTGCCTGGGGACAGCCGGCCTGCGCAGCCTCCCGGGCTAGGACCCCCTCGGCACTTGGGCAGGGGCACCTACCACTCTGCACAGTCTGTGGAATAGTTGGCCCCGGGCGCGTAGGGGGTCCCATTGTACACGCAGGCACACTGGGATACGGGGACACAGCCCGTGTGGCGCACATCATCCAGCACCGTCCCTGCAGGGAGCAGTGCCGTGGCTCAGCAGGACTCAGTCCCAGGGCCCTTCTAAGGCCTGACCAGACCCAGAAGTCCCGCATGGGGTGCAACTCACCCCCAGGGCAGAAGCAGCCAGCCACACAGTGCTCCTCGCACAGCTGGGAGCGCTGGGGGTTGGAGCAGGTGTCGGTGCAGGGTGAGCCGCACTCCTGGTGCCGCATGCCAGACGAGCACATCGGGGCTGCAGGGGACAGGGCGGGCTCACATCAGGCCTCAGATGGGGCAGGTGCAATGGGCTGATGGGGCGGGGCACTCACCGCAGAGGTTCGGACTCCGCCAGTCTGGGGGCTGCCCGCCAGCGTGGGCACACTGCCTGGAGAACTCAGCAAGGGTGTGGCAGAGGCAGTCGTGAAGGTGGGCACTCTCGCAGTGGCAGAGGTCCTGCCAGCAGGCCTCAATGTAGCTGCTGACATTCACCAGGGCTGCACAGCCTGCAAACAGCTGGCTGCTCAGCAGCTCTTCACAGATGCCCTGGGGGTGGCCAGAGCCCAAGGTAAAGACCAGCCTCGCAGGGTGACGCCTCCTGCCCTCCCTGCCACCTAAGCACCCTGAGGCTCACAGTGCTGTTGGAGCAGTTCTGGGGTGCAGGGCTGGGGTCCTGGCACTGCTCCGTGGGGCCATCCATCTTCTGCAGGTTCCCAAACTCCAGAGGGGTCAGCCTGGCATCTGTGGGGAGTGCAGAGTGACTCTGTTGTGGGCCCGGACCCCAACCCAGCATCCCAGGGACCCCACTGAGGATGGCCAGGCACCCCTTGCTGTTGGGCTACTCTGGCCTCCACAGAGGTGGGGAACAAAGGACGGGATGTGGCTGGGCCACCAAGACCTGGGGCATCTGGGAGGCATGAGGGCATGCCGTGTGTGGCATGGGCAGCCGTCACTGTGCGTGGGTGCACGTGTGTGTGCTGGGGTTGTGTGCACCTGGTGTAGGAAGTGCCTGGGCTTACTGGGGGACAGGAACTCGCTGGCCTCAGCAATGCCGTTGAAGTCTCCGCAGAGCCCACAGGTCTTGTTGACATATCTGGTGTCCAGTTCCAGCTGCAATGGGGGAGGACATTGGACGCTGGCCCCACCAGGGATGCCCAGTGCACGAGGGACAGATCCCAAGGAGGGGCTGGGGTCTCCTGGCTGGGACAGAGGCTGCAGGTCCCTCCCCACCATCTGCACAAAGCCCTGGCCCAGCCAGGCCTGGAGGAGATGCCCCTCAGGCAAGGCTGCCTTGGAGTGCAGATCCTAGGCTTTGCTGGCACCTGAGTCCCCTTTTCACCTGCCATTTGGGGATCCAGCCTTCTCCAGCTCCTCACCCAGAGCTCTTTCTGCCTTCCCTGGAGAGAGGGTCAGGACAGGGACCACCAGCCCCAGGAGGCTCTGGCCCCACCTCGTCCTTACCGTGAGGCTGCCATCCAGGTTCCACACGAACACCAGGCCCAGCCTGGCCACCACTTTCAGGTAGCCACTGCTGTGCTCTATGAGGACCCCGGCCTGGCTGAAGGGCAGCTGGACCCTGGGGAGGGGCTGAGGGTCAGGATGGGTGACAACCCCACCAGGAGGCCCCCACCTGCATCCTAGAGAGCTGGGCTGGCCAACCACCCTGCTCCTTCCTGGACCCCGTGCGGTACTCTGCCCTGGCCCCTAGATGCCCTGTGGCCCCATGACTCACGGGTGGCCATTGACCAGGACAGAGTCCCGGGTCAGCTCAACGACCATGCCATTGAGCTTCATGATGACCCTGCTTGGCAAGGTGCCATTGGATGTGCGCCCGCGGCGCAGCTGCACGTTGAAGTCCTCGTAGGCAGCGCCGCAGTGCGAGGAGAACACGTAGTTGCAGAGGCCGGGGAAGCGGAAGACGGCGCCGTCGAAGGTCTTGTAGTGGAAGTCGCCCCAGGTGCTGCAGACGCGGCCCGTGTGCGCGGGGTTCAGGGCTGCAGGAAGATGGGAAATGGGCCACTGTGAGTGCCCCTACTGTGCCCAGCCGCTCCTCCACAGCCCCGGTCCCCAGAACAGTGTCTGGGCCCTGTCTGCCTCGAGAGGCCCTGGGAACATCTAGTAATGTCTCTGACCCCTTTCCAAACTTCTTCAGTGTCACCCCAGAAGTGGGCACCCCATTTTCTGCCAGCCCATCTCCACACCAAGCCCACCTGCCAACACAGTGCTCCCCGCGGGCCTTGGGATTCCACTTACCGCGCACGGGGATGGTGATCAGAGGAGGGATGACAGTCACCCTGGGGAGCGAGTGACCTGTGGGGACAGGGCTTGTGGGAAGCGCCTAGGCGGGAGCCCCTCGAGCCAGATGCTGTGCCCTGAGTGCCAGGAACATGTGGGGTCCAGTGCAGGGCTGGCTGACACCTTGCTCCCCGCCCCGGGGCCCAGAGCCATCTATCTGCCTGCTCATGGGGAGAGACCTCCTTGCCCCATCTGCTCAGTCTCGCAGAGAGCTTAGGCTCCAGCACCCACAGTGTGGCCCCGCTTCAGGAAGTACAAACAGGGCCAGGTGGTCCCAAAGCCCCCAGACCCCTCCATGGCACCTGGTGCCCCTGAAGCAGGCAGGCCTCTGTCCCACCCCTGCCCTTCATTTCTGTGTGGAAGCCGAGGGTGACCTTGCCTTCTGGCCTCTCCCTAGGCAAGGCTTCAGCTCTGCCCCTGAAGTCAGGGAGGCCCCTGGGGGACTTGCAACCAGTCCCTCATCCTTTCTACGGCTCTCACAGGGGCAGGGCTGGGGAAGGACAGGCAGGGCCTGCAGCCCTGGATGCCCCAGCCCTCCAAGTCCTGAGCCCTCTCAGTGGCCCCTGGGGTGGTCAGGATCAGCTGGCCTGGGGTGCAGTGGGCCGAGACTCACCGCTGTGCCCTCGCTGGGGAGAGAGGTTGGGGGAGATCTCACGGCTGAGTTTTGGGGAGCCCTCCTGAGCCCAGCCTGTGGAAGAGGGCACGGCCTGAGCAGGGTGCAGGGCACCTCCGTCCATGGGGCTGGGTGTCTGAGGTCACCCTAGCCAACTGCTGGATGAGCTCCCATTCCCAGTCCCTGGGACTGTGATCTGGGAGGTGCTACCCTGCACTCTCACCCCTGCCTGCTCTGGCCAGCCCTCCTCCAAGCACCCAGGGAGGGTCCCAACCTCAGGGAGCAGGGGTCTAGTGTGGGTACTGTGACACAGACACAGACGAGCCAGTGCCCAGGGAGAGAGCAGGGCAGTCTGCAGCTTCCTTAGGCTCCACGCTGGACAGCACATGGTGGGGAGGGCAGCTGAACCCATCCCACACCCACCCAGGGGCTCTGCAGAGCCAAACCTGCCACAGTGGCAGGGACTTGCTGGCTTGGGGAGGGGTCATCCCGACATCACAGGACCCTGGGATGGGACACAGGCAAGACAGTCCCTATAGGTGTTACCCTGAGACACCAGCAGTCAGCAGGGCTCCAGGACTCAGGACCTGCTGCCCAGCTGGGAGCCCCAGCCTCTGGCACCACACATGGCCACACCAACTGCCTGGCCCCTGCCATCTTACCTGAGTTCTGGGCACAGGCCATGGCCCAAAACAGGGCCAGCATCCCCCGGCTGAAGCCCATTGCACGAGTGTGGGGACGTCCCCAAGGCGGCCTCTGAGGAGGGACTGGGTGGTGGTGACCTTTTGTAGGGGTTCCTGGAAGGCGGGGCAGCCCCTTGCCCGGGTAAACAGGCAGAGGGTGTGCCCTTGGGTGGGGCCACTCCGGTTCCCATGGTCCCCACCTGCAGGCTCCTGGTAGTTCTGTGGTGCAGGCTGACTGATGTCCAGCTGCCTCCAGAAGCCGCCCAGCCTCCAAGCTGATCCACTCCGTGCACGTGCAGGGTGCCTGGTCCTCCGTGTCCCTGCCGGCCTTGTCCTGAGTGCTAGAGAAGGGTGTCACCTGTCACAGGGCCATGGGGTGGGGACCATGCATGAGGGGAGGGGCACTGAGTGAATAAGCAGCCACACAGAGAGCGGCTGGGGCTCCAGATTCCCAGGTACAGCTGGCCCCATCCCAGCCTCAGCACTGGGCATGGGTGGCCTGTTGCTGACGGAGTTGCAGGATGTGCTGTGGCAGGGCAGGTGGCTTCGAGGCTGGGACCCAGAGCTCTGGTGGCCGAGGGGGTTGCAGACCATGACAAGGCCAGGCAGGGACAGGAGAGTGACAAGGTCCTGCCCTCCCCCAACCCCTCCAAGAGAGTTGGAGGTGGCACACCCAGTGCCTGACCCTGGTACAGTGCCTGAGTTACCATGGGATCCACACCTTGGCCTCTGCCCCAACTGAGTCACTGGCCAGCCGTGGGTCATCAGAGCCCTTTCTTCCAAGGCCGGCAGCTAACAAGTCAGCCACTCAGAGCCCACAGAGAGGGGCCTGCAGCCAGGGTCCAGGCCCAGGTGATGACCCCTGCGGCTTGAGGGTGCTGGCCAGGCAGGGCTTCTTCTTGGGTGTCTGAGTCTTGGATCATGGCCCCTCAGCCCCACAGAAAGCCAGACCCAGGCACCCCATGGGTTCCCTGAGGAGAAGCTCAACCCCCAGGCCCTTGTGGCTCACAGGCCTCCAGTCAGGACCAGCCCCACCTGGGGACCAGAGCTGCCCAAGGTCCAGTGCCTGGAGGATGCAGAGCTGGGGACTTGACCTCCATGGGTCCTTCTTCCCTGTGACTTGTGGGAAGCAGGAGAACAGGGTGGAGACTGTGCCGGGCCAGTGAATCTCACTTCTTGGGAGACCCGCACATGGGTGGCATGAGGGGGCACCTGGCCAAGGCCCAGGAAGCCCTCATCCGGGTCCCCAATTCCTCAGCTCTAGGCCTGGATTCGGTAAAGTCATGATTACTGGAATCCAGCAAGAAAGAGCTGGGAGTATGTCTCTGGGTGTTACCATGGAAATAGAAAAAAACGTTTGAGACTGGACAGGGTGGAGGCGGTGACCACATCCCAGAGCATCACTGTCATGCTGTCGTCAGGTCGATAATCCTGCCTCCGGCCCCAGTCAGGGACCGGAAGCAAGCATCCAATAGCCCCTTTGTCCTGGTGGCTAAAACCCAGTGACTCAGTGGAGATTAAGCCCCAGTCAGATCCGGCTGGGATCAGGCCCTGAGGTGGGGCAAAAAGTAGCTGCATCTGGACGCGTGGACCCTGCAGAGCTGGTTGGCCCAGGGTGCCAAGGGGCGTCCACCCACTGCTGCCCTGGCCTATGCCCCCTGAGGGTGAAACCAGGCTGAACCCAGGACTTCCAGGGCCCCCAGAGCTCCTATCTTAGTGCCCTGAGACACTGGCAGCAAGAGCATCTATGCTGTCCATCCTGGCTGGGGCACAGGGCTGGGGTCCCCACCACCCTCAGCATCACTTCCGTCTCCTTAGGGCCCCTACAAGGTGGCCTGCAGGGTGTCGGCCAGCCCCAGGCCTTGACTCCAGCTCAGAGGGTGAAGCGAGTAGATGAACCCTTGTGGCATCCTCTGTGCAGCATCTGATGCCCCACACAGGGCGCCCAGGGGGTCTGTGCCCCCATCAAGACCAGCCGACAGTGTGATGGGTGGTCGGGGAGGACTGGGACCTCCACGGGGGAGTTTGACTGATGGAGAGGTCCCTGGCTGGGGAGGAGGACGTGGGCTCCAGTGAGGGCCTCCAGGGCCCCGTGGGGCAGCCCCGACACAGGGCTGTGTTGACAGAGGGTGGGTTCTCAGGGTTGCCCAGCAGGGACTTCCTCGAGGAGAAGGAGGTCGTCCTGAGTTTCCCCAGGGTGAAGGAAGCTCCTGGGCCTGGGGTGCGGGACAGGGGCTGCACCCTGGCACTGCAAGAAAAGGAGCAGCGCAAATTTGATTTTGTGGTGGGGCTGCACTGATTTGAAGCCTGCATGTGTTTGTTTTCTGAATCACAGAACAAACAGAGCTCCTCCTAAGACCGGGCGGGAATCAAAGGCCAACCTGCCCCTGAGAGCCGCAGTTTGGCTGCAGGACCTGCTCCCTGCTCCGTGTCCTCCTCACGGCTGATGCTGGCCTTGCACAGCTGGCCCCCCACACCTAATCCATCTGCCCCATGTCCCCTCCTCCTGCCTCTGGCCCAGGTGTCAGCAGAGCAGCCTCAGTGTGCATCCACCTGCAGGAAACTCAGGGGGTTCTAGGCCTGGGCACATCTGTGGACCCCAAATCCTCTTCTGGGGCCACTGCCAGCCAGTTTTCTCAGCCCAGCGACAGCCCCATGGTCTGACAGTCAGGGGACACTGCTGGGGTCATCCCCCAGGAACTGTCCACAACACTGGGCTGCAGGCCTGGCCTGGGTCTCCACCAGCCCATCCAGATGCCCTGCACTGCTAGGCCAGACCACCAGGACTCTGTCCTGGGAGAAGAGGGCAGCATGGGTGCTGGCCGGGGTCTACCAAACTGGCCCTCGGTACTAAGGGCATTGTTCTCAGTCTAAAACCTACGCAAAAGCACTAATGTAACTCTCCTGGGCTTGAACTAGGCACAGCAGAAAGCAGGGTCTCTAGAGGGTTTTGCACACCCAGACTCACAGCAGCATCCGTGACAACAGCCAAGTGTGCAAGCAACCGAGTGTGCACAGGGAGCAAATGGACCAGCAGCACACAGCCTATCCTCACACTGGAACACAATTCTGTTCTGAAGAAGGAAACTCTGACTCCTGCCACAGCAAGGATAAAGCTTTAGGGAAATAAGACGCGCACGAAAAGATGAGGGAGGCACCGAGGCCCAGGAGGACAGGGAGCAGGACGGGCCCAGGGCCTAGGGGGCTGTGGATGGAGCCCCGGCGCAGAGCTCGAGCAGGGAGATGAGAGGTCCTGGAGGTGTTCGGCAGGGCTGGCTGCACGCAGCATGGACAGGTTCAGTGTCCTACCACACGCATAAACACAGGGCTCGCCAAGTCTGGAAGCGGTTCAGAGCGAATCCTGTCCCCGTGCTCCACTCACTGGGCTGGGCTCCTCGGGGGTGCAGTGACACTCACGCCCTCTAGCGAGAAGCAACCCTGTCCATCACTGCCCATGTGGGCCTGCCCCAGGATCAGCACAGCCCCACGGTCGAGGGAGATTCCTTCAGAGGCAATTTCCTGGGTCCTCAAATTGCCGCTGAAACTCCTAGGGTGGCCAAGTCCTCCCAAGCAGACCAGCTCTGGAGCAGCCAGGCCAGGCAGCCAGTTCTAGGCTCAGAGGCCCAGGGTGCTGGATGCCTCCTTAATGCCACCCCTGGTGTGGATGAGACTCACTGCCTGTCCAGGTCTCGGGGGAGCTCACAGGTAACAAGCCACAGGCACCCTGCCCACCCCACCTGACCTGCAAGCCACCCTGTCCCCCCAGAGTCTGCACAGCACAGGCACACAGCTTCATCTGACCAAGGGGCCATCCAGAGCACGGGACAAGCCCAGTCCACCCGGGACCAGGACGAAGGAGCAGAGGATGTGGCTCTGTGCAAAGCAGACAGCATGCACTCCACACAGGGCCTCAGATTTGTGAGACTAAGAACAGAACACATGAGAGAAATGCCCAGAAGAGCAGCAGAGCTGGGCTGTGGGACAGGGCCAGAGATGCCCAGTGACAACACAGGAACAGGCACACTCCTGCATGCACATGTGCAGACACACAACCACATACACACACATGGAAATCACAACACACACACATGAGCACACACTGACCATGCACACATGCTCGCACGGTGTAACATATACAACAATGCAAATGCACATGCAAACCCCCACCTAACAGTGCACATGCACTTGCACGTGTGCAAGCACGTTTACAAGTGCAAACACAGACAACAGGCAAACATTCACAAACATGTGAGCACACTACTACATGCCACTCGTGTGCACATATCAAAATGCAAACACGAACACACACAGCCAGGCAAACATATTCACATAGATGCACACATACATGGAACACAGCCATGCAGACACACACTCACAGTGTGCAACACACAACCACAAAACACAGTCTCACGAGGTGCAAACACACACAGTACAAATGCACACATGTACAAACAGCATGACCATGCACATACAGCGCACTCACACAACTCCCTATGAGCTGTGCTCACAGATGTGCATACACTTGCAGACATGCAAACGTGTGGCAGTGCAAACACAGCATGCAGATGCACACTTACCCATCTGCAAACACAAACATCCTCACAGACGTGCAAGCATGCAGACACACTCAGAGTGCAAAGATATGCCCAAACATGCAAATAAAAGCTCATGCACATGCAGACACATGTACTCAATGCACATGTAAACTACGCACTAATGCAGAGAAACATGTAAGTCCAGATACACACACACAGGGCACAGCGAGCACTCAGCCTGCACCCTGTGAGGTGAGGGCCTCCTCTGGCCTGCACTCCACGCTGCCCAGGCCTGTCTGAGCCCACAAGCATGACCTGCACCTTGCAGGTCCCTAAACACCTGCTGCCACCTCCCTGGCCCTCCACACCTCAGCCTCTGCTTTTACCTGCTCTGTAGAATCAGAGTGGACAGAGAGGACATGCTGGTGACCTCCATATCCTCCCTGAAGATGCTAGGTCCTGAACCTGCACCCCGGAATTTGCATGGGAGGCCCTGTGTGCAGAG